ACTTAAAAAACTACCCCCACTACACTTTTAACCCCTTTTCCCCAAAAAATCTTCGCGAACAATTTATAGCCGCAAACAGAGAGTAACGCCTGAAAACCTTAATGTACTCTGCACCTTACCCTTAGGCACAAGCCAACGACCCCTGTACTTTGCGTCTCGCCCATTTCTCCCCCCGTCCTTTCATTCTATTGAACAGTGTTACAAAAAAACCCCTTAACAGATCACAATGTTTTAAGAAAATTTCACTTGGTAGTCCACAATCCCGGGTCTTTCCCTCTGACAGTCACAAGTGCCTCCATATCTCCCCCTCTTCAATCTCCAACCAAAGCTTCCCTGTCCTTTCTCCCCCAGAGCTCTGGCTCTACAGCACACCCCCATCAAGGTCCTCCTATTAACTCCTTTATTTTTCCCAATAATGCCCATACCACGCATCCATGAACATACTCATCCCCCCCTTTGTTTTTAACACCTGCCCCTCCCCAAAACCTTTCCCCCTCAGAGTGCATTTCCAAATCGCTATTGTGGTCGTGTCTCCTTGTGTTTTTCCGCAAACACATGCCCATGGCTTGTCCCCCCAAAACACTTCCTCCCCCCCCCCTGCACCCCCACCCCTGAAATCTCTCCCCTGCACCCTCTTTAACCGCTCTTCGATCATCTATTGCCCCTTTTGGGAAAACCCCCCCACCACTCCGTGCTCATGATAGTTTCCATTTTACTTTCCCAAAAAAAATTTTTTAATCCCTACTTCATCGATTTAACGCTTCCCCCCACCACGTAAAAAACCCACGAATCCTCCCTTGGCCACACTGTCCCCCAATGTCAACTTATCAACCCTTTTTGCCCCCTCACCTAGCTTCCTCCCCAAAAGAAAAACCCCCCCCCTCCACTTCCTCATCCTCAAGGGCGGCGTTTTAATTTCCAGAGCTTTCAGTTTCACTAACAATCCCCTGCCCACCCCACCACCACCATGCCCTGTATCTGAATAAATTGCTTCTAAGTGTTTTTAAACCACTGAAAAACCCCCTTTCGTTATATAGATCCATCCATCTAGCTCGTATTCCCTCCTTACAAATTGTTTCACTTCACCCATTCCACCCCAAAAAGCACTGTTTCCCCCAAAATCCTACACAGATCTCGCAACGCGTTAGGGAAAAAAAAATTCCCCCCCCCCGCTGGCGTACACAAATCTCCGTATTAACAAATTCCAATCTCCCCCAAACAATTCAACCCTGGGCAAAACTCTCAAAAATCACCAGATCATCCCTTACAAATGCCGATTTTTACCTCACATTGTTCTCCCCCGGAGCAAATCCAACAAAGGACACGGTTTTTAGCATCCCCCACCCGTTTCCTTTATTATTCTTCCCCCACCCCCCCCCTCAAACCTTTGCAAAAAAAAAGGCTTGCCTCACGAATTAAAACACCTACTTGCCTTTTAAACGTGTCGTTGGGATTACAAAAAACCCCATATCCCTCCACCAGCAATTTTCCGTTTTCAGTTTATGTCTTGTATAAAGGCAAAAATCACCTTTTAAAGTACAGCAGTCCTCGCAAACCCTACACACTTTCCACTCTTACATAAACCTTAAAACTTGTATACACCTTTGGCTGTTACGTTTTCCCCCCACTTTTCCCCACCACATTTTTTTCCCCTGCCATAGCCTCATACCCCCCGTCCTTGGCCTACCCCCCCCCCTCCACTCCTAACCCCCCGTGGCGTTTTCTTTTTCTCTGTGCCTCTCACACCCTTTAAACCCCGCCTTTTTCCCTGGTCTTTGTGCTGGAGTGAGGACGTCATCCGAGTCAGACGTGACGGCTGCCCGCTTCCTCGACACTTCCTCTTCCACCATGCTTGTCTCCTGACCTTCCTCATTGTGCACCTCCACCTCTATCACCTCATTCCCCTTCTCACTACTTGGCCAAGCCGACATTACATTCCTTCCTCCAGACCCGCATGCTTCCCCTTGTTCCGGTACCTGGTCTCCCGTCGTTACCTCTGTCAAGGCTTCCTCTGATTTAGGGAACATCTCCTGCAAAACTGTCTCAAGCACTACGTCAATTTCTACGTCATTCGGTACGTCCTTGTCCGCTTCGTGCATCACATCCTCTGCAGACACACTCAATTGCTGCACTGCACCCTCATGCTCCACCTCACGTTGCATTTCCTCCACTTCCTCACTCCACAACCGACCACGCCTACGTCCATCCTGGCAGTTCTGATCAGTCGCTGTAGGTCCTCGCCTCGAAATATCACTCCTTGGTATTCCCTGGCCAGTCCTCCGCCTCACACATTCAGCCGTTATGTGATCATAACCATCACACAGTCTACAAGTTCTACGTTGGCCAGCGTAAGTTACAAGTATTTGTGTCCTAAATTCCTCTAAGAACACATACGAAGGTATTGGTTGCCTCAGAGTCATCTTTAGGCTAAAACTACCTTCTGGATAACCCACATAAGCCCCTGCCGTCCACTTGCCTTGTTGAGCTACGTGTACAGTTCCAAACTTCCCAAACACACTACGTAGGTCAGCTTCATTTGCCCCGAAAGGCACATTACATAACTTTACATACGTAAATTGACTCAAAACATCGACAATCTTTACCAGGATACCCTCGTTAACCTCGATAGCAACATCCTGATAATGATCAAGTAGATCCTCATACACCTGTGATGACAGCAGTTTCACGAACATTCGGTAGTTTCCATTTAAGGCTACACTGTAAAGGTCGCAATCCTCAATCCCATGTCTTGAATAATCAGAGGCAACAACGTCAACGCCGAATCTTGATTAATTGTACATCTCAGTAATTCTATGCCGACAGTGTTAATTCTGCGGCGCACCCCAACCACCATCGTGACAACCTGGCTAGCACTTGCGCCTGACAGAGAGGTGTAGCAAACGTCCACCCTCACCGGCAGCTGGGCGAGGAATAGGAGTGGTATTAGGGGACAAGAACTTCACTGTGATGATACCAAACTCTTCCACAATTAGGTCATTCAAGTTTGGAGGATGAGCAGGTGCATTGTCCATTAGCAGGAGGCACTTGAATTCCAATTTATTTTCCAGGAGGTATTTCTTCACACTGGGGGCCAAACACTTCATTGAACCACTCGAGGAAATGTCCCTCATGACCCATGCCTTATTATTAGCTTTCCAAAACACACACAATTTACTCTTCACAACATTTTCTCTTGAACACACTGGGAATTTCAGAATGATACACTAGTAAAAGCTTCACTTTGAAATCCCCACTAGCATTACTACAAAACATGAGAGTTAGCCCGTCTTTCATAGGCTTGTGTCCTGGGAGTGCCTTTTCCTCCCGAGTAATGTAGGACGAATCCTTCAGCCTCTATGTACTCCTTGAATTCACTTAAGAATTTTGTAGCTGCATTTTTGTCAGAACTGGCAGCCTCACCATGCCTTATCACACTGTATGCCACTACATTTTTTAAATCTTTCAAACCAGCCTTTGATGACTTTAAAATCACAAATATCAGTACTTGTTGCAGGCGATTTCTTTGAGATCCTCGTGCAACTGCCTTGCCTTTTCACAAATACAGTAATTGACTGCGTAAGACTATCTCCTGCTAATTGTTTCTCGGTAATCCACACCAACAATAACTTCTCGACATCTTTGAGTACTTGCGATCTCATTTTTGTGAAGCATGGGTGATGAATGTTGCAGCGAGGAGAAGGCTGGAGGCAGTGGAGATGTCATGTCTAAGAGCAATGTGTGGTGTGAATATAATGCAGAGAATTCGTAGTTTGGAAGTTAGGAGGAGGTGCGGGATTACCAAAACTGTTGTCCAGAGGGCTGAGGAAGGGTTGTTGAGGTGGTTCGGACATGTGGAGAGAATGGAGCGAAACAATATCTTCAAGAGTGTATCAGTCTGTAGTGGAAGAAGGCGGGGTAGGGGTCGGCCTAGGAAAGGTTGGAGGGAGGGGGTAAAGGAGGTTTTGTGTGCGAGGGGCTTGGACTTCCAGCAGGCATGCGTGAGCGTGTTTGATAGGAGTGAATGGAGACAAATGGTTTTTAATACTTGACGTGCTGTTGGAGTGTGAGCAAAGTAACATTTATGAAGGGGTCAGGGAAACCGGCAGGCCGGACTTGAGTCCTGGAGATGGGAAGTACAGTGCCTGCACTCTGAAGGAGGGGTGTAAATGTTCAGTTTAAAAACTGTAGTGTAAAGCACCCTTCTGGCAAGACAGTGATGGAGTGAATGATGGTGAAAGTTTTTCTTTTTCGGGCCACCTGCCTTGGTGGGAATCGGCCAGTGTGATAATAATAAATAATAATTTACCCCCTCTGCAACAGCAGCTTCCTTGATTTTCTTTTTCTTGCCTACAATGGAAGTGATGGTTGCATGGGGTTTCTTATACTCCTGCCCAGCTCTGCCACATGTACGTCACTTTCATATTGTTCAGTGATGTTTTTCTCACCTTTATCAAAGGCATGGCATAGGAGCTTTCTTTCGAGCCATGGTGACTTATTTAGCAGTTGCAAGCACTAAAATGAATGGACTGATATGAAATGTATCGTATGAACACGTGAGGTGATGGTCACTTGTTGATTAACAATGGCACACTGGCTGGGAATGAAGTGTAAGGCCGCTCGGGGCTGTGCGTACGCATCCAGGACGAATGACTATATGCGAATCAAATGACGATACGCGAATCAGTGTTTTGATGAAAAAAGGTTAAGATTTTCAAAAAGTTACGACTTTCAATGCTTACGGAAAAAACGGGACCACTGTAATTTTTGGTTACTACAGTCAGCTGCATCAATTTTTGCAGTTGCTGGGAAAAATGTATGGCATTCATCGGTCAGATTTCTGGCAATTCAGTTATCTGATTTTTAAAACATTGATGCCTAAATAAAAATCTTCTCATTGCAACTCATGCCTACTTCAAAATAGGTATGATACCAGAGAAGTTACAATGTAATTTTAATTGGCATTCTGTACTATTGATTTATTACAAATCTTAGATTCTATCTTGATTTTTTGTTACTAATAGGCAACAGAAGATCACCTGAAGAAACACTATGCTGATCTTGCAGATAAGCCCTTTTATCCAGGCTTGTGCAAGTACATGTCATCTGGTCCATTGGTAGTATGTGCTGGGAAGGTACGTTAAATTGTCAAGACTGCCCGTACAAGGGATGGGAGAGCCCCGCCCCAGCTGATTAAAAGGGCCTGGCCCCCATCCGTTGGAGACTTCTGCATTGAAGTTGGCAGGTAAGGGAGTTTATCATAATTGTTTTTGCTATAAATTTAACTTCTGTTGTATCTCACGGCAATGCTTGTACAGTGCACTTTTTGTAAATTTTCTAAAACACTATGAATTTAAAAGTATTGTACACTAGGGATAGGACAGGGGAAAAGATTTTTGCCAGTACCAGTACATATCAGTTTTAGGCTAATACTGGTACTGATGTTTTATTGCTTTTCTTTTTCAAGTTATAACTACTGTATATTAAAAAATATAAAGGAAATGCTTATTGCTCAGTAGATAAAATAACCTAGGAAGGTTAAATCATTAAATTAAGAACTTAATTTCTCTAATATGCAAATGTTATTACTCGTTACTAATCACAGGCACCTCCGTGAGACTTAGAAAATGGTTAAGAATGAACTAAAATTTCTGAATCAGTCTACGTATTTAGTAATCTGATGAAAGTCGTCAGAAATCTGTATGAATATACAGTAAGTGTGAATCTCCAGTTACTCGAAACTAGAACATCAAACACTTTTACTGTTCAGTTAAAGCTTTAAAAAAAAAAAAATAGCAACTTGAGGGAATTATCCTTATTGTAATGACTGGGAATTTGAAATTGAACTTAAACAACCTGTCTCCATTATTAAACTTGACTGACATTTCTATAAGTTCTTTAAATTCTGGATCCTAGTTAATATTGACGTTTTGAACTGATAGTGTGTTACCTGAGCCTGAGACTTTGTTGATGAAATGTTTTGAATATTACACAGTTGTTACAGTAATTTGTTATTATTTACCCTCATAGAGGAATTTTGTTTTGAGTTGTGATTAAAAATTGGAGATATGACTTGCATGTGATGGTACAACTGTTGTGGGTCGCATCCTGGCGAACAAGATTAACTTAAGTTGCCTGAAATGTTCTGCATAACCAGGGTCTTTCTATATACAGTAGTATACCAGTGATGTCATCTAGGTCTGTAATGGGTGTATCATACTTGCAGTATTAGATTACTACTACTATTATTTATCATTTATTGCATTTATTATCCTTATAACTATTTCTGGCAATGCAACCGGGTGCATATGTTCACATTTTCCTTGTTCCTAGGTTTGAACCTAAAGCATTAACTTCTTATTATGGTCAGTGTGCTTGTGTGGCCCTCAGCCAGTCACTGAAGTGGTAGTTTCTTTCTGGGGCAACATTTGAGCCAATGGAAGTACTAGTTCTTGTGGGTGGACCTTAGCCAACAAGCCAGCCTGACAGCTTGTCTCTTGGATTGGGGGTCTGAGGGTGGCTTAGCAGCCAATCGGCAGTGGGATTGAAGGTCTATAGTAGCATCTTGGCCAATAGCAGAGTTTCTACTACAGTTTGTTTAAAGTTTAAAGCTATTAAGAGTACTTTTGCACTAATTCTGTATTTATCCTTCATAACTGCATTTATAATTACACCATCTTAGGTGTTAAGAAGTGATCATGGCCCTAAGGGGCCTATTGGACAATTAATTCCCCCCCCCCCCCTGTCAGATTTCTTTCACTGCTGGTGCACAAGATGAAGTATTCACTCTATTGACTGTAAATATTTGTTGGTAAGATACCTCAAACAACTGAAAAAATAATGATTTACTGAAAATGCCATTTGGCAGGATGGGACGACGTTAGGTTGTTTGGACTCTTGGTACCCAGAGAACAATGCTAATACGAATATTTAACGGTACAATTTCCTCTAAATATCTTATCTTTATTTCACAGAAAAATAGTTTGTAAGTTCTTAGAATGTTGCAAAAATGTGCCCTTTACTCCCACATAAATCCCAAAATATTTGGAATATTTCCAGAAGTCCACCATTAAAAATAAGAACAATCATTATTTTACAATTTCTGTGAATATTATTCCACTTAATTAAGTAATAAAGGTGTAGTGAAGTGAAATAAGTCAATAAGTTACTTCCGAGATATTGGCCTGGAATGCCGGCTGGCCCGCCGTCTCGATTTTTTTTTTTTTCCAAAAATCGTGTTTGTTTTGGTGTTTTCCTTAGTAAACTGGTGTTCTAGTGCAGTTATCCTCTTCAAAACACCGTTTTCTCTTACTCAAAGGCCAAAGAATACGACATGGAGATGAGGGGTAATGATTTTATATTGAATATTGCTGGTGGACACTTGCCATATTATGGCTTATTTTATTCAGTCTAGAGTATATAACATGTTTGTATGTTATTTTTAGTGTTTGTCTTATTAGATCAATTCTGATAGTTGATATAAGCGTAATAATGAAGTGATTTCTCCTGCCTCTCTCTGGAGCAGGAATACTGCCGGTGTTCCCAGATGGTTCCTGATTGGCTAGAAGTCTACGGATAAGCTCCGCCTACATTTTTATGATGTCAAATAGTCAATTACTATATTAGAAAGAATAATGCAAGAAATAGCGAGAAAAAACAAGGAAAAAGTTCCAAAAAATATACGTGTCTGAGAGCAGACTTGCTACGCTCATCGCTGTCACCGTACCTGATATAAATGACTATAATTTCTTGTGGAAACATCGTAGAACATTGATTCTTGTACCATTGTGTTGCCAAAGAGTTGAGCTGTTTTTCTGTATGAATAACTCGGTTTCCACAATTTTTCGATATTTTTTTAACGCTCTCAAATACTTGGTTAATAGGCCCCTAAAGTGCACAATAAACAGGCCATTTCTATGAAGATCAAGTAAGAAATTATCACATTATTCTCTAAGTATGGCTTTCCACAATCTACCATCTCTACTGTTAGCAAGCACAAAGAAATAATGAATATTAAAGAGGCTGACAAATCTAAGCTAGTGAAAAAAAGGCAGTGAAATTATCATAGAGATGGAAAGATCTATTGTGGACATGAGAGAAGCAGGTGAAGGGAGATAATGCCTGCAAGTTGTATCTGACTGTATAAGGTACAGCAAGTTATACTTACGAATTGCCATAAAACAATGTATGTTGTCATGTAGGGGGGTAATGATTAGGGGAATATGGGGGCAAGTGGAGGGAGTCAGTAGGCAGGGGACAGGCAGGCGAAGTGGTAGGAGAGATGATTAGCGGAGGTAGGTAGGTAGGTAGGTAATGTGAGGTCACTGGTGACTACATCTTCACCTCTCATTACTCTACACTCCACTCCACACTACTCACCCTCTCACTACTTTAACTAAACATAAATAAATGGAGAAATGAGTAAATAACGGGGACAGTGAATATTACTATTCTACTCAAACACTGTTTTTTTATTAAGTCTTTGTACAATAATATATTTGGGAACAGAACATTATTGTGGTTTAGATAAATGGGGTGGTAAAACATAAGCAGTGAGACAGGGAACACAATCAACTTGACCAAAATGAATGTAACTTACAATATAGTTCAGAGGGCAGTTCATCACAGGAACTAAGCCACAGGTCCCAAGACCTACACAGCACGAGTACTGCGCCAAGCCAGTACTCTGCCCAATGCCTCCAACAGTCTACTCCAGAGACTTCAGCAGCCTTCTCCCGAGCCCCGCACCCCAGAGCAGCTCCGCTCGAAGTCTCTGCTAGGACCTCTTCAAGGGGGGCTCCTTGGCGTTGGTGAAGAGGCTCTTGGTCTGAGGAATTAGCCCTGTCGGTCTTTTCTCAGACGAACCTAATTACCCCCCATTCTCCCTCCCCTATCCCATCCTCCCTTTTCCATTTCTCCTCCTCCTCCCCACCCCTCCCTTTTGCCCTTCCTCTTTTTGGCCTTTGGGATTTCTCCACAGGTTTCGCTAGTTCCTAGGTAGGGAAAGAAACCGGGGTCCATCCCCTTTCCGTGAGGGTTTTTGGCCGGTGGCGTAGTTTGCCGTGGAATCTGGATTGCCTGGGGATGTCCCGATCCCTCTCCGGTATCCCGGAGAAATTTTGGGTGTCTTTGGGCGACGGGTGTACTCGGGCCACCTTTAGATTGGGGTGGTGGGAAAGGAGGTATCTTTGTGGCGGATATCCGGCCGCCCTCTTTTTTTGTCCACCGAGGTAGCCGGCAAAATGTAGGTTGCTATCCCGGATTGCTGGTTTACTGGCATGAAGGGAGGGTATGGCACGGGTTCCATGTTGCATCTGCGTACTAGCGGGCGGGGTCCTCTTGGGCGCGGAGGAGATTTCTGGCCCTTTCTTTCCCTCCTGGAACTTTTCCCTCCCCGCCCCCCCTTTTTTTTCTTTTTTTTATTTTATTTTTTTTTCTTTCTTTTTTTTTTTCTTAAAAACAAAAAGAAAGAAGTAACCTAACCATGGAGCCCTCCTAAACCCCCTTACCCCCGGGCCCCTTCTTGATACCGCACCCCTTCTGACCCCCCCTTTGTTTTGACCACTCTTCGGACAATTCCTATGCCCTGTCCCTTTCCCGGTGCTGTTTCCTCACCCGCTTCAGGTACGGGCCTTCGACTGACTCCTTCGATTTTCGACCTTCGCTCTCCTTTGACTATGTTTCCCGGGCCCCTTCTCCCTTTTACGGTCGGCAATTTTCAAATCGCCACCCATTTCCAACGTCGGACCAACTCGGTCCACCCTAAACGCCAACGCAATTACCTCTGATGAATTCTCCCCCTTCACCTTCCTTCTCTCGGAAAAGATCGACACGTCCACTCCTTCCAGCTCAGTTTCGGACAAACAAGTGGACTAAATTCTTACTTTAAGACCAACTTCCTCTACTGCCTACCTTTCTGACCATAGTATTGGCAAACGACCCCTTTGGCCATGTTGGTAAAGATATTTCTTTTCATCCCTTTTAAGAGCGGTACGCGCATCTTCCCGTCCAGAATGCTCCCCAGCTCTGATTTTTCTCTCTCTTTCCAATTTTGAACTCTCCTTCCCCCTTGAAAAACATCTTCCCTCAATTCTTGTAGTGGTCCCTTTTATTCTGCCCATACCATATTTAAACAAAATTTCCAGATTGTGGCAGACATTTTTGAACAGCGGGAACTCCAGTTTCTCCCAATCTCAAGGTAGACACTTATTCTTCCTGCCCGGGGCGGAGACGTCCCCTTTGCAA